CCTCCAGGGTCAGGGGACCCTGCCAGTTCTGGGAGGGCAGCGGGCTGAAGCGTGACACCACAGTTGTGTCTACTGCTTTTGTACATTAGCCCATTTAATTTTCCCAACTATCCAGCTGCAGTTTCCATGATTTCCATCGTACGGACGAGGAAACCAAGGCTCTGAGGAGCTGCGGCGCTTGCTGGAGACGCACACCAACGAGCGGCGGAGCTCAGACTCCAGCCAGCTCAGGGCGGCAGGACAAGCCAGGCCTGGTTTGCCTCAGCTGTCCTGCGAGTCCTCAGCAACTGGAGGTATCTGCCCGCGAAGCCGCCCTGGCTGCTCAGGAGAGCCCTGTGCCCACGTCCCAGCTCTGCCAGCCCGTCTGCTGGCTCCCCGCCAAAGCCTCACCTGGATATGGTGACGGGACAGGCGGAGAATCTCCTGGGCCATCAGCAAGGTCTTTGAGTCCATCACCAGGTACAGGAGATGCAGGAGGGCAAGAAAGCCTGCTCCTCTCAGGTCTGTGGCTGGATTTGCTCCTGTAACAGAAACCAAGAGGACAGCGAGGGTGACGGTGGGCAAGGCTTAGAAATCCCTGCTCTGTTCGTTGCCAGCAGACCTGCCTTAGAAAATGGCTAACGGAAGTTCCTGAAACAGAAAGGAAATGACAAAAGAAGGAATCTCAGACTATCAGAAAGGAAGGCAGAACAGGAGGAGAGCACGTATGTGAGTAAATCCGACAGGCTTTGCTTCTCCTCTTGAGTTTTTTAAATTGTCTAATGGTTGAAACAAAAATCGTACCCCTGGTGTGCTTCCCAGTGTATACAGAGGGAATATTTAAGACAATTATGTTAAACGTGAGGGCGGGAAAAGGGATTTAAACACACTGTCAATACCAACAGGGCACCGATTAATTATGGGTATATAAAGATTCCTTTTTAAATTAAGGTATCTTCCTGTTCTACACAAACGTAATTTGATATGATTTTGCAAAAATAGTACAAGCCCAAAACAGGTGCAATCATTTTGTTTCACTCAAAAAATGAAATAATAGAGGTTGGGTATGGCTCAGTGGTAGAGTGCATGCTTAGCATGCAGGAGGTCCTAGGTTCAATCCCCAGGACCTCCTTTAAAAAAAAGAATAATAATATAAAACAAAATTTTCATCAATATTAAACGAAAAGAAGAAAAAGGAAAAACTTGGATTCTAAATCCTATCACTCCAACGCTTTCCACCTCACTTAGAGTGAATGTTCTTTGTTTTTTTAACCGTCCCCCATAGAGTGAATGCTTTGTCGTGGCTGCAAGGCCACCGTGAGCACTTCCGTCACTCTTCTCCACTTGAGCCACCCTCCTTGCTGTTTCTCAGAAAGACTCACACGCGTTTCACCTCGGGGCCTTTGTGTTTGCTGTACGAACTTGCCCCAGGTACCCTGTCTACGGCGCTGGCATGACAGCAGGAGGACCGTGGGCTCTCACTCTAGCCTGGAAGAGGGAGTCAAGGAGAGGACGACGATCCATCCCTTTCTTACCCTGAAAACCCAGATCTTCCCAGTGGTCTCCAAGGAGGGCACAGTCAAACCTGGAGCCGGTCAGCTTCTTGTAGATGGTCTGGAGGACTCGGCCGTGCATCGGATCTTGGCTATCCAGGCCACCTGCCCCAAAACACACCCCAAAGCCCCCAAGCTCTGTTGCACTGCCCTCAGAGGAGGACTGAGTGCCTCCCAGAGAGTGACACAGCTAGGAGAGACCTGGCCTGTGCTCCAGACACCCTGCTCTCCCCCCGACATGGTAAAGGCAAGACCCTTGGCTTAGTCTCGGCAACAGGGTGGGCGGCCCATGCTCTCTGCTTGACCACTCACACTGAGCGATGGTCAGGACCAAGTCCCTTTCTTCACGGAGGCCCTGGTGGAGCTTTGGAGGCCCGAAGAGACGGTGCCGGAGGGCAGCGAGCCCGGTCCTTCGAATCGTTGGCTGGATTCTTTTCTGGGGAGGAAGTTGCAGGCAGTGGGCAGAGCGCTAGGTTCACTTGCTTTCACAAACTCACCACCAGGCTCGGTACAGGACTGTTCTTGCAGAGAGGAGCAGTTCCCCCAGCTAACTGGCTGGCCTCTGGGCCAGGGAAAGCGGGCAGGAGCTGGGAAGCACCTGCCGAATCCAGAGACAGGCTCTTCCAGCGCCCAGGCTCTTCGTAGGCAGAAAGAGATGTCCCCACGCACAGGCGTGATCAGCCAGTCACCTGTGTTTGGAACTAAATATGTCACTGACTGCCAGGAAGCTAGAGGTTCCCAGCAGGACGACTTCTACGCTTTGTACATCTGCCTCTGCCTCTCTCTGTAAAGGACATAAACAGAAAGTCTAACGGCCCCCTCAGCTTCCAGGACAAGATGGTCAGTGGGAAGAGGGGTTCAGTGGAGGCTTTTTTGGACCTAGATCCCCCTGAGGGGTAGCTGGAGCCTCTGTCCACACAACAGCACTAAACCAGCTCACGCTGACTTCTCCTTGTTCAGAGCCATTGCCGTGGGTCTTAGCACACCCTGATTTCAGCAGCTCCTGGCTCTCTGGGTCCTACAAACCAATCCGACCCCTGTCTTTTCATCCTCTCTCCTTGAGCCAGGTTTTAGGCTGAAGATCTGAAATCACAGTCCTCTAAATTTACTGCGGGCCACTCAAGATGCCCCAGAAAGCTTGCCAGCTTTTATTCTCCTCAATGCTCTTTCTTTTTTCAACCCCACTTAGTTTTTAAATTCCCAAAGAGCTTCCTGTTCCTCGAGAGAATGGAAGATTTTCCTACGCTGACCGTGAATTACTCAGCTCTCTGGACAGGCTACCCTGCTTCCCTAAGGAACCACCTAGCGTCTGATTCCAGACCTCCCCATCCCCAAGAGGGAAGAGCAGGGAGCAGCCACACAAACCACTGAATGATTCCCTGAATGATGGGACCACATAAAAGCTCCAGGGGCATAGTCTCCAAAAGGCCGCCGTGGCCCCGCATGAAACGTGGGTAAACGTGGGTCTTTGGCTCCCCGTGAGCCTGTGGCCCAAAATTTCTTAGCTGGGACAGGTCCCTCAACTGGAAGCTTCCATCATGCTTGCCCAGTGCCTTATCTTGGTGGGACAGAATCCTGGCTCCTGGGAAGAAAGTGCTTTGCTTGACATCCCAAACCTCCTCACTGTCATACCTTGAAGGAGGAGAGGTCCACGGTCTGGAAATGCTGCAGAGCCTCACCGAAGGAGATGAGCTGCCCCGGCTGGTCTGAGCGGGCCTGGCTCCCTGCGGCCAAAAGGAAAATACCTCAGGGTGTGCAGCAGCAGTCATTGTCAGCAAGCACTTGCCGAGGGCCTTCTGGTCACCATCTCTAAGCCCAGCACTGGCCTCCAGCTGTAAACACCAAACACCTACAGCTACAATCAGTCCTCTGTCAGGGGGCTGGCATGACGTGCTGGGCCGACTCCCTTTTCAGATCGGGCTGTTCAGAGGCTGGCTAGGGCAACGCTGCAAGCGAACAGGGACCGATCTGCAGGGAGCTTCTGAGGTCCACTCATCCGTGAGGGGGCAAGTCACTGCCTGGAGCAGGTGCCTACGCAGGAGCGTGCTACAGGTTTGTTTAGGGGCCTTTCTACTTTGCCCCTTCCCACACCCTGGGTATGAATGATCCCGTCTCTGTCCTTTGTTACAGGGAACTAGCTTATCAGTCAGCGTACAGGTGATGGCTGATACAGTCCACTGCACCATCTCTCCAGGAGCTCAAGTGGGGCTCAGGCTCGATATGGGTCCCTGTTCTGCTCTCCCACAGCTCCATCCAAACCGCTCAGAAAGGCACGAGAGACGGTCCTGACCCAGCCCTCAGAGCTGCCAGAAGGTGCCTTTAGTCCTCATGTCTGGGGGCTTCCTTGTACAGTGAACAACCTGTCCAACCTTACACAGGGGTCCTGGCTGCCTGCCTCCACCCTCCTGCCCGACCTCATCACCCTGCAGGAGCTGACCCTGACCAAGGGCCTCCCTGTCTTCTCCCAGGGCAGGAGAGCTGGTGGCCCATTCCCCTTGGTGTTCACCCCGCTTCCTTCCAGAGGTCGGATGGCAAACCTTTGGATTGGGAATAGAGACATTATTCTCTGTCATGCAGCTAAAATGAGAACACTCAGGAATTCTGTGTCCTCATCCCAGAGTCACAGAAGCACTGGCCACCCAGGTGGACGGTGCCCTGAGCAGCCACGGGGCTGCGCGCAGATGGCGCCATTCCTGCAGTTACCTGTCTCTGGCTGGATGCTCTCCACGGCTTCCCATTCTTCCTGGGCTCTGAGCACCTCTGTACTCACAGCTGCAACAGTGAGAAAAGGAGACCCTCTGAGATCCAGGTGTGTCTGGATCACTGGCGCAGCCCCCAGCTTTACCTACCAGCCTTGGGTCTTATCGCCCCCAGAACCCTCTACGGGTTCTCCATAACCTTTCACAATCTGGATCCTTCTTGCCTCTCCGGCTCTGTTCTAAGGCATCCAGAACTACCTGAAGTCTCTCATCACCCACTTCGGTGCCTCTGCACACACCGCTCTCCCACTTTCAGTTCCGGCCCCTTCTGGTGCAGCTCCTGGTCTCACCTCCCCCGGGTGCCTGTTTAACCTCGGCAGTCTGCACTCAGAGCCGCTCCACTGGGAGACCCTGACCCCCCCGTGCCTGTCTCAGTGCTGTGACTGTCTCTCCCGCTGCACAGGGAGCTACAGGAGGGCATGGTTCTCCTGAGCCTGGCACAGTGCTTGATACGTGACAGGTGCTCAATGAATGTTTGATTGACAAGTAAAAGCATGACGAAGGGGGCGGTGGGGGATGGAGAACAGGAGCAGGGCAGGCGCTCTATAACCACCGCCCAGCCCTTCTCTCCACACCACAGCTGTCACTCTCCAGCCCAATCCTGGCCGAGAGCCTCACATGACATTGAATCGTTTTGAAAATAGACTTGCAAATTAAATAAAATGCTACCGAAACCTCAAAACATGAATGGTTGATGGGGACGAGAAGGCAGTGGGGAAGCAGGAGAGGAGAGCTGGAACGCACACGGCAGAGCCCACAGCTCGTCTGCTTTTCATCCCCGACACTCACTTGCTGGACTCTTCCAGCAACCATCTGCAATCCCTCTCGGGACTGTAACTCTTCAGTTCTAGGGGCGTGTGTATGTGGTCCAAAGGTGAGGGCTCAGTGCACTTCAGCTAGAGTCCATCCGACTTTGCTGACTCGCCACGCTTCAGATGGTTACGAGCTACTTTATCAATCTTTCACCCTGCACACTTTCACCTACAAACAAGCTGATCAAAGACTGTGAGCCAGGAGGCCAACCTCGCAGGCAAGGGTGGGGCCAGTTGGCTGTGATAGCAGCGTAGTCAACAGGATGGACAAGGTCTCAAGGAGCAATCGCAATCTGGTACCCAAATTAGAGACAAACATCCAGCCTGTGTAAGAGCATCTTTCCTTTCCTTCAGGAACCGGGTACACAGCCCCCACCTCTGCAGATGATCCTGACATAAATACTACTTTCCCACCCCCTCATACGAACAGAAGATGGCGGAGCCAAATCTCCAGGATAACCAACCCAGCTCACACGTGTACGGCTCTTTTTTCCTTTTTTCAGCTGCCTCCTTTACTCAGGGTTTCTTCTAGTTATTCACAGAGTACACAGCACTGCTGACGTGGTCAGCCTATTAATTTAAAGTAGCTGAGAGCCATCTGGAAAAAAATTCTAACGTTTAATATGATTAAAAATGTCTGGCACATAAATGCCAGCTGTACTGAAATAGAGATTATTTTGCATTTAAGGCAAAATCTCAGATAAACGTTAGGTTTGTCACTACACGGTCAAGACAAAACTTAACTAAAAGAAACTTCACAGACCTACAGATAACTTCTCTACGTTAGAATATTTCTAATAGGCCCATATTCTCGGAGATTACATTTCAATTTGCAGAATTTAAAGATAACGATGCGTACCAGTGAGCACTCAGCACGGTTTACAATCTGTGTGCTAAGCATTTAATCCTTATCAGGTTCCTACCACATAGATTCTGAGATAATCCCTGTGTTATAGATGAGGACAATGAGGGTTAGAAAGATTGAGTTAATTACTCAAGGTCATGCTGCTGGTGGATGAGAGTCAGGACTGAAGCCAGAGATACCTGACTCTTGTGAGCTGGTGAGTGTGCTTTTTGGTGTAATAAATTAGCAAGTAGTTGTACAGCACAGGGAAATATATTCAACATCTTGTAGTGGCTCATGGTGAAAAAGGATATGAAGAGGAATGTATGTATGTTTGTGCATGACTGAAGAATTGTGCTGTACACCAGAAATTGACACAACATTGGAAACTGACTATAACTCAATTTAGAAAAAACACACACACCAAAAAAATTAGCAAGGCGAATGAGCTTTAAGTATAGTACGGGAAGAATCATGCAAATCAGATGAAACAGATAACTTTTCAAAGCCTCTTCACACACTCTGTCTCATGGCATTATCACAACATCCCTTTGAGGATAAAGGAGGTACTAATGTTTCCACTGCAGACACAGAGATCACATGACTTGCTCAAAGGCACACAGTAAGCCACTAGCAGGGCTTGTGGGGTCAAATTAGAACTCAGGAACTCAGGTCTTTTGACTCCTGATCCAGTGTTGGCTCTCATTCTCCTTGAAGAATGATAAAGCTATAAAATTCTGTAGGCAAAGTAGTGAGAGACATTCAAACGATAAAAAGCAGACCCTTGGGGAGCTCTGCCTTGTATCCCACCCAGGCCCTGAGGACCCCGAAGGGGCAACCTTACCACCTGGCTCCCAGCCATTAGCTTCTGTTGTCAGGGCCCGGAGGATGCCGTGGTTCTTCAACTCCGAGATCTGCGGGGGCAGCTGACTTTAGTGTGAGGGCAGAATCCATGGTCCCCCATCCACACCAACCCATCCCACCCGCTGTACTGAGTGTTCCTGAAACTTAAGGCCAGAAGGATCTAGCCTTCCCTGATGGACTGATTAAAGCCGATCTTAAAGAGAGGAACGTGGAAAACTCCAACTAGGGTGTAGAAGGTGGGCGATGTGGGGGCAAGTCTATGCCTTCCTTGAACAGTAAACAGACAAAAATTCACTCAACTCAATGAGACGGTGGTGCGCCTTCGGCATTCTGCCACACTTGATATTCTGCTGCATTATAACAAGTATCTTATTGGATGGAGGTTATTTTGCCTGTCTGTGCCTCCGGCACCCCAGCACCCTCTACCCCGGGAGTGTGGGCTACTGGAGGGCGGGGTCTGTGCACCAACACAGCGGCACACAACATGAGCTGCTACTGGCAGGAGGTATCGAGGTGTGGGTGACACGTACAGGAATTCCTCTGAAAGCCAGAAGGGCACTGCTGTCCTTGTCACAGGGTGGAGCAGACACACTTTCAACCTGCAGGACAAACCAGAGTCAGTCTCCCGGGCACGCAGCAGTCCCCCAAAGGCGAGAGCTAAAATGTCGCACCTTTTCCAGTAACACTAACACACACACACACGCACAATGGATGAACCCCCAAAAAGTCAACTACAAGAAATACTGCAACGGAAAAATTTTGTGTAATCCAGTCTTATGAAAAACTGCAAAAATCTTATACAGATGTCTTGGCTCCGTTAAAGGTCTCAGAGCTCTGAGTAAGTAACGTTCAGTGAGGCAGTTTCTTCATTTTTGGCCTTTCTGCTCAGCCAAGCTTTTCCTCTACTGGAGCTTAAAAAACTGCCTGACCAACATTTTGCAACTCTTATAACCAATACAAGGCTAATTTTTCCAGTATGTTAAAAAAAAAAAAAGATCCTACGAATCAGTAAGGGCGA